CTGGAGGAACTCTAATATTGCAACTCTTCATGCAACTATATCGATGGCTAAGAGGACAAATATTGTATGTCCATTTTTGTAATAAATGAGATACTTACAGGTCTGCAGGTCGAAATGAAATCTTTATTGTGCTCAAATATTGTATGTCCTCATAGAACGGTTTATTAGTTACTAAAGTAGCATTAAAGACATGTCCATTAAAAACACCATAGGCTTCGTGCACAAATGTTGCATATCCAATGCAATATTTGATATTTGTGCTGCTCACAAAATTCAAAACGAAACAACTCTTGTATATCCAAAGATACACTATTTGGCCACAATATTGGAGGCCCATCAGTCTATATTACGTGTTGCACGCGTCTGCGCAAAGTAGTGATTAAGTGTGAAATTGTCCATGATGTACATCTTGAACAACAGTATAACAGTTGTTGCCAATATCAAATCCAAAAAAGCATGACCTGTGTCTCTTACGCGAGAAGGTAATCTCAGAAGACTACAGAAACTTTGTAGAGACATTACCTACATCCGTAGAGGCTAAAGGTATTGTTCCAAGTGATTCTGAATACGAAACAGACTAAGTTTTAATTATGTTTGACTTTATGCTTGTTTTTCCGTTAATAAAAATTTCATTTGAACTTTCAAAGTGATATTACTGAAAACATCAATTTTGGATATACAATATTTGTCCTTTTAGCCATCGATATAGAACTTCCGATCTACTTAAAATAAAAAACCTGGTCCGACTCTAATTTACTCTCTTTTAACGTCGTAAGCATTATCCTATAAAGGAACTCTTCAACCCTTACTTCTAATCAGTATCGTTGATACTGTAAAATTTCTTAGTATTTTTATAGACAGCAACCTTAAATGGTCCATTCATATCGATTTGTTCAGGAAGAAACTAGCCTCAGCCTGCTATGTAATAAGCAAAATTCTCGAGCAATATGCAATAAGCAGTTCGAAGGAAATAAATTTAGCATCTTCCAAAATAACATATTTTTCTTTATTCAAGTCTCATTTTCGATATTGCCTTCCTTTTTGGGGTTCTAGTATAGCTGCCCAATCTGATGTTATTTTTAAATTACAAAAAAGAGCAATACGGTATCTTTTTGGTCTCAGTAGAATATCACATTACAGAAGCTCCTTCAAAAATCACGGGATCTTAACTCTTCTCTCTTTATATATTTTAGAAACTGTTTGCTTAATTCGTAAACACCTACATGTTTTTTTAGTTAGACTTAAACATGACTGCTCCACCAGAAATTCAACCTTTGATGTGTATTTACCGATCCTGTCCACTGAGTTAGTAACGAAATCTATATTATATTTGGCAAAAAAATTATACAATCATCTCCTTTTGCAACTTATATCTACAACTTCTTTCCTTAAGTTCCGTAAATTGATAGAAGCCTATCGATTTGGGTATCACATGCAATAACTTTAACTCACTTGTTCGTTTTGTTTTATTATACAATTTGCAATTTATTTAAATTTGGCAATGGGTTGTATTATTTTGTGATATTGACGATTTATGTAATTTTAATAAATTTTAATTGTTATTGTTATTTTTCTGACTTTTTGTAAGCTTTCTCCATAAAATTGTACAATTTTCAGTGACAATAAAGCATATTTCTACTCTATTCTATTCTGTAACATGATTTAAATGTAAAAAGAAAACTGTAAGTCTCTTCAAGCCTTTGATAGGGTGAATTAAATTCAACATTTACAAGATCACGCTGTATTTTATCAAGTAAATTCGAATAATTTTATTTTAAGCTGAAAAGTGTAACTCCTTCCATTTTGTGTAAATTAAATCAAATAAAAACTGTACACTTTAGTACAGAAGTATATAATACGTCTGCTTTTAGCTACCCTTCCATTTTTTATATCTACTCGAATTCTGCGAGTGCCTCGTTCTTAAAATGTAGTTCGGCCGTTGTATTAGCCGTTCTAAAAACATCGACACCGAGACAATCAACTGTAACAATTTTTTCACACTCCGGTGTTTAGAATGTACCACAGTTCACTGCCTCTAACAATTCTGAGACACTTTCTACGAATTTAGATCTCAACATATATCGCGAATAATTGAATCTTGAAACGGTATTGATCCGAATAGTTTTCTCTGCACCTCCCGGAAGTTTTAGAAACTGATCTTTAAAATATATAGGTATATCGCATCGTTTAAGCTTAAATAACTTAATTTATATACTGCTCCAATAAATTATATCATCAATCGGCAATAAAATTGTTTGACCAAAATTACTCGAAAAATAAAATTTTTATTAATTATTTCAAATGTTGTTACCGGGAGAAGAGTTTCTCTGAAAGTTGTGATATTAAAACAAGTCAATACGTGGGCATCATTAGACATATGGCATTCTTCTCTTTGAGTTTAGTTCCGGCTAGTATATATCCTTATTAGTTATTGTATTGAGAGGCACGATAGATAGAAAGTCGGATCGATTGTTTTCAGTTTTACAAAAATCATATGTAATTGGTCTCTAGCTAGAAGAACCATTATAAATGACATTAAAAAACTGTATTTCAAGAAAAGTAGAGAAGTTGTACTTCTATTGTACTCAGATTAAGAATAATTGACGTGATAACGTCAAGCCGTCCTAATTTTCGACATAATTTTATCCACCTTCTCAACGCTATTTAAAATTGGATTTTGGCACATAAATGCCAATACCTATTCTATGATATCGACATTTAACAAGATGATCACTGGTTTATCAACACTTCATCTAATTTCTCCAAACGCATAATTTGATTGATCTCTAAACTGTCTTTCCATTAGATTGTAAATAAAGAGGTTGTTCACTTCTAGCGGAAAGAAATTTTATGTATAAATTTCATATATATGAATGTTACTTTCGGATAAATTTTGCTCCTGCTGTCCAGGTTTTACTTCAACAGGTACTTTCCTTTACTATCTTTACTCTATATACTGCCGCTCTATATCACTGCAAAATCACTGCAAGAGTTCTATATCACTGCATTTAAACCAGTCCCTTAAATTCTTCAACCATGACTCTTTCCTTCTTCCTATACTCCTTCCTCCTCTTTCCCTGTATTATCAGCCCTAGCAGTTCATCTCGCTGTCCCCTCATTTCATGTCCCAGATATTGTAACTTTCTTATTTTTATTGTGTTTATTATTTCGCATTATTTGCCCATTTCTCGCAATACTGCTGTGTTAGTTTTCTTCTGTGTCCATGCTATTCTAAGCATCCTCATGTAACACCACATTTCAAAGGACTGTAACTTATTTATGTGTTCTTGCTTCAATGTTCAGTTTCAAATCCATATTGCAGTATCGAAAACACGTAGCATCTCAGTGCTCTTACTCTCAGTTCTAACCTAAGGTCTTTGTTGTAGAGAATTGTTTTCATTTTTACGAACGAATTTCTTGCTATTTCTATCCTGGCTCTTATTTTGGTTGTTTGATCATTATTGTCTGAAATCCAGGTTCCTAGGTATTTGTATTTATCAACCTTTCTATCGGTAAATTTCCCAAATGTATGTTTGTTGGTATATTTGTTTTCTTTGTTATTATCATACATTTGGTCTTTTTTATATTCATTTTTAGTCCATATTTTTCACAGAAACTGTTTTTTTTGTTTAGCAGTAATTGGAGTTGTTCAGCAGAGCTTGCCATAATCACGGTGTCATCTGCATATCTTATGTTGTTAATAGATCTTCCGTTAATTATTATTCCTTCACTTTGAGATAGTAATGCTTCTTCAAAAATGGCTTCACTATATACATTAAATAGTAATGGGACACAATAATCCTGCCTAACTCCTCTCCTGATTTCAATTTCTGGACTGGGTTCGTTATCTATTACGATTTGTGCTCTTTTATTTCAGTAGAGGTTTGTTATTATTCGTAAGTCCCTATGGTTTATGTTTTTTGTCTTTAGAATTTGGACTAATTTTTCATGTTTTACTTTGTCAAATGCTTTTTCAAAATCAACGTAACAAACATGCACATCAACATTCATATCCATGTATCTTTGAGCTAACACATTAAAAGCAAATAACGCTTCTCTGGTTCCTAGTCCGTTTCTGAACCCATACTGACTATCATCTATTCCTTCTTCCAGTTTTTTATTTATACGACCATGTATTATTTTCAAGAATAATTTGAGAATGTGACTTATTAGTGATATTGTTCTGTATTCACTGCAATATAGCATTTGTATTTTTAGGAATAGCACAAAAGGTGGAGAGTGATCATTTTCGTTTGTTATGTAATTTCGTTTCTAGTCATCATATTTGAGAAGCTAGAATGCTTTTAGCTGAATATATGTGGCCACTCCCGGCAGAGCCCACATGTTGCCAGAACGCTAATATTACTTGGCCGTCGCGTGGTACCCGTGGTTCTTTAAGTATGTTTCAATTACATTCTGTATTTTTTAGAACTATATTTTGTGCTTTTGCACTATTTTATAATATTGGTATCAAGTAATCAGGAGGGCATTGTTTGGGAGAACTGTCTCAATGCGAAATCGAATAACATTGACGTTGTCAAACTGAGATTTGCAAACTTCTATCGTACCAAAGCATATTCGAGAATTGAAATTCGAATTGCAGATTGTGTCTGTTCTATAAATTGTTCGCAAATTGCAATATGTGCTTCTATACTATTCTATGATTAAAGATATCTGTAATGTTTGAGGCAGGACGAACTTTCTTCATCTGATGCCATAAACCAGTTAATTAAGTCATAAGATCTAAGGACATCAATACATAGTGATGGCATTCGTCACTAGTACAATATGTAGATATAAAATTTATAAGTTAACAAAATTATTAAATTTCAGTTAATATGAAACTTTTATGAAATAGTTCTTCTGTCAACTAGAATTATTCTCGAAATATTTACAGCTATATATTAGATAATCAGAAATTTATTATATACAATAATTAAAAGAGCATAACTAAGCAAAGAGATCGTTTAATAATAAGACGATTTTCTGTTCTTTTTCAGTATTATTGCATTGCTAATCTGAGCTTTGTTTGTGAAGGTTCCTCTCATAGTGACAAAGAGGTGGATCCGAATACTCCCGAAAAACTACCTAGGACGCCGAGCGAAAGGAAGCGGAAACGGAAAGCGGAAGACAGCGGCGGAGGAGTGGTAGGGCCGCCGGTAGCGAAAGGAGCCATTCGAATTCAACAGGCGGACAAGAAGATCAACGAATATTTCAATAAACATTCGGGTAACAGTCACAGCCCCATCAGGCACGGCGGAGCGAAGAGTCCGTCACCTCAACAACCCTATGCAATGGTAAGATTATTGGTTTACGTTACTTATACCCCTCTTTACACTGTTGTGATTTTTATTTTGTATAAACACTCCACACACGTTTCCCAGAAAATCGTATATGATCCGTGCTTTTTCAATACATCAATATGAATTTAAATCAGATCCGTGTGGTATCTAAGTTCAATCAATCACGTGTAAGATATAACGTCGTGTTTTCTGGCTATTTCCAGGAAACTCTTATGTATATTATGATATTCAGTACAATGAAACCTATGTAAACGGAATGCTACTGTCGTGGACAGTATACAGTTTATACAGTATTGTAAAATCTCGTAGACAGGTACCGGATTACTCAGCTTTCATTATATTAGGATGTGTATTTTCTTTGTAATCAACATATCGAAAGTAGTACCTTTTATATTGTTATCTTCCTTTTCATGATTCCTTCATGATTTTCAATTTGTTTACAGCTCGAAAAAGTTCTGCGGTCGTCATATTGAACCAAGTTCTTAGGTTGTAGAACCAGGAAATATGTTGTCTTCCAACATACCAACAAACCAAATTCTAATCCGAATTCGAACCGAAACTGAATTCGAATAGTACCAAAAATTGAATTCACTACGAATTTTGACTATGATGAACGGCATGTGGAATGCAATCTTGATTCCCTTGCCGAGTAATTTATCAAGGTGTTTGCTTTACAAGGTTTAGAAAGCACAGTGGTTAAGATTTGAATTCGATTTCGCCAGGTAGAAATCGTATGATTTCTCTTTTTGAATTCGTATACTTTGGCTCTTCGAATTCACCCTATCAACCCGTATTCTATGGCGTCGTATTTCAAAACCCTTTAGCTTCTTCATAGACGTTGTTATTCGTTGGTCCCGACTTTAAAATTGAGTTTATCTTAATGAATGCTGTTCTTGCTTTCCTATTTTATTTCTACAGAATAGTCCCATCCTCTTTTTACATTGCTGCCCAGATATGTATGCTCTCGACTTTTTCAATTCGTCTTTTCTTCAGCCTTCATTTATCCATTGTTGGACATAGGCCTCCTCCAATTGCATCCACTGCTTTCTAGCTACAGCTGTTATATCGTCTATCCACCTCTTTTTGGGTCTTCTCACGCTTCTTTTCGTTTCTCGAGGTCTCCAGAATGTCACTTTATGAGACCATCTGTGTCTTGTCTTGCTACATGTGCTACCCATTGCCATCTCAACGTCGCTATTTTTCCCATGATGTTCTTCGACGTATTTCAGTGTTAGGAATTTTGTCTCTGAAGGCTTATATTTAACATGGTCCTCTCCGTGGCCCGTTGAGTGACTCTTAATAATTGTTCTGCCATTTTTCTTGTTATTGCCATAGTTTCCAATCCATAAGTTGCAACTGGTAGTATATAAGTATCATAAGTTTTTCGTTTTAAGTGTATTGGGATTTTTGTGTCTTTTAAAATCAAGTGTATTGGGATTTTTCTGTCTTTTAAAATGAAGCTCAACTTACCAAAAGCAGCCCATGGCAATTGTGTCCTTTTTTTAGAATTCTTCTTTTTCAATTCATATGTTACGGAAAATATATTCAACGTTTTATTAGAAATATTTTCCACTGTTACAGTTTTATATATGTTGTTATTAAAATTTTGTCCGGTTTCTTACCGGTAGCTTTATTGTAAGCGGCACATATTATTTTTTCCTATTGTGTCAAAACTGTACATTCAAAAATTTTTTAAAAATTCATAATTATTTCTTAGAATTATATCTTTATGCTGTAAGAAAATTAACAAAATCGTATGTTTGGTTTTCGCGCTTTATACTTGGAAAAAAGTAGTTTTTTTTCGAAAACGACATTAATTTTGCTTAAAATTTGTCAAAATACTTCTATTCATCACATATAGGCCTTGTATGGTATGTAGTAATGTGTAGTTTGTTTTTTGGGAGGTGCAGATCAACCTTTAGTCTTTATGGTTGACTTACTTCTGTTATGCAAGTCATTAATTTTTGTGGCTATAGTGTATTATAATAATAATTAATCTACATTAATTACTATTTTAACTGGGAATAAGCCATACTTTAAATCCGTTTCCTTAATTTTTTTCTAATGGATTATGTCACCAATATCTCTTTTTTGGCTGACTTAGGCGTCTGTTTTAATTTAATATAGGTAAGATATTGTCTCTCCGATTTTATCGTGTATAAATGTGCAATTTCTGGAAACCTTCATCACCAAAAAATTTCATCACTTATTATATATATGATCAAGGAAGCTTGGACATTATTTACAAAGGTGGGTGCTAATTGAACAATTTTCACCCAACCATTCAGGAAAACCTTTTAAATTATTGTACAATTGTCAATTGAACAATTCTCATATAACCATTCCGGAAAACATTTTAACTTATACAAAAGCTGGTGCCGATTGAACAATTCTTACACAACCAGTCCGAAAAACATTTTAATATTAATATTTTTATTTATTTACTCATATTCATATTATCTCTTGCAGGTAAATTGATAAGTTTTGTAATTGATCCAAAGCTTTCTTTTCAGTTACCTCCTTCACCGCAACAGGTGGGGATGCCGTCCCCACAAGTCGGCTACAATACGGCTTTTGAATTTTATAAGCCACCATTGGGGGTGCCACCTCAAACTATGGTTCACAAATTAATACAGGTTAGTACATTCATTTTATTTTTAAATGTACAATTCAACTCGTGTACGTTGCTTCGACAACCCAGGACATTAGAAGGATAAGAGAATGAAGAAATTGAAAAACGAGAAGAAATTTAGGTTTAACACTCTCATCCTTGGCGCCCTCTTGGCCTCCAGAGTTAGCTACAACTACCGAGCATGAACCGCTACAACACCACTACAAAAAGTGCCCTCGGCACTTGTTAGTTATAATTAAATGGAAAAAAACAATCTCAATTAATAGATTGACTATAAGAGTATGGCAGTTGAAAATGTACCTAATGAGCCTCATTTTGATAATGCATACATTTAGCACTTTTTATCATAAATTATTATCGCAGTAACAATCACTTTATTTAACAATATTAAATATTAATAATTTGTGTAAATGATTGTGATCTCTGACTTAATACATTGTAGTATTTTTCCTACAATACTAAAGTGATTATTAAATATTAGATAATGATAACCCAACAAACAAGGCAAGAATGATACAGCAGTCAGACATTCCTTGCCTTTTTATATGTAATGTAATAATAAAATAAAATTTTATTTCAAGTAGTAAAAATAAGACAATTATGATGGGATTTTACCAGGATGCATTGATCCAATATTTTAAAAAATATTTTTGTTAATAATTTTAATTGTAAATAATAAATAATGTGATAATTGTTATAAAAATTGGGTGTTAAAATTAACAACACGTATGGTATGATAAAGAAATATCGGAAGAGCACCACTAAGATAGTTGAATGATATACGAAAAATAGCTACAAACAACAAAGCTGGGAATTGCAGCACTAGATTTTCTCTCTTAGAGAGTAAACAGAACAGCTCTAGCTAATATATGCCAAAGTTTGCGATGAAGGTTGTATAAGCATAGGAACAGAGACAGACAGGTCAAAGAACGGTGCTGTTTTGTTTTCATTTCTGCCCACGATTGTCTAATATTCGTCTAATATTCATTTGTGTGAACACTGTGTAATTCTGGTGGACCATTTATTGTCATGGAGCAAGAGCAATGCTGAACGTGAGCCTTCGAGACCACATAACAAACCAACGAATCAGGCAAAGATCAGGAGTTCAAGACGTCATCGAAAGAACCACGACTTAAGTGGAACTGGGCAGGGCATTTAGCCAGAACACAAGATGGACGGTGGACAAGACGTATTATGGAATGGAGGCCCAGCAACTATAAAAGAAGCCGAGGACGACCACCGACTAGATGGACCGATGATATAAAACGTGTAGCGGAAAACTGACTGGAAAGCGGCCCAGTGTAGAGAACACTAGAAAGAACTGAGGGAGGCCTATTTCCAGCAGTGGACGTGATTGGCTGATTGATGATGATGATGATCTATTGTCAGTTCTTCTCGCTAAATGTTAGGTCTCTTTATAAGTTCTTATATTTCTGTAGGATTTTTAGGAATAAGAACGATGTCCATTGTAAATCTTAGATTATCCATCCAGAGTTATTATCCATCAGTAGATTCTGCTAGGTCATTTTGCTGAATATTTTCTAGAGTTGCAGTGAAGAGCTTTGGGGATATTGCATCTTCTTGTCGGATGTCTCTTGTAATGAGAAATTCTGGAGTGTTTTCATAAATTTTTAACTTAGTAGCTTTTGTTTGTCTGTATGTATTTGCTAAAGTCTCTGTGTACTGTTTGTTAATGCCCTTTGTTTGTTCAAAGTTTCCATTACTGCCTTGGGATAATAAATCGAAAGCATTCTCGAAATCTAAATCTATGAAGGTTAATGCTAGCGGTATGTCATATCTTTAGCTCTACTTATTAGTTCTCGAAGCGCTTGGATATGATCCATGGTACTGAATCCACTTCTGAAGCCAGCTTGCTCTCTTGGCTGTGCAGCATCTAAATGCATTTGTTAATCTGTTGTTGATGATCTTTGTGAATATCTGCTCTGTGTAACACTGCTTATGTCCCATTAATAAGGTTGTGGTCATTTCATAGTTTAGTAAAGTTACCAATCGATTGTAAGTATACTATAGGTCAGGGGTCACCAATTATATTCCCCGAGGCCCGTTTCGAAAACCTACTACACTTCGGACACTCAGCACTAAACCAGGCATTGGTGTAACCGGTTGGGGGGGGGGGGGGAAGGGTTACCCAGAAACCTTCCAGTAGTTGTAACCCCCCTCAGAAGATCATCCTGGTTATTTAGATCCATCCAGGCAATTAGGTCATCTGGTTTAGTGAGGGATATGAAATAAACTGAAGGAAAAAGATGATTATAAAGCTGTTATATTATTGTTTCTCCCGTCTTTGCTTAATACATTTTTTCGGCGTAATTTGAAATATTTCTATCTTAGAACTTAATTTAATCATTTAATGCTACTGTTTCTATGTCCGGTTATTTTCTTTCTGCAACTATAGTGTTTAACAACTTTGTGGAATATATCTATATATATAAAAATTTAAATGTTAGTAACAGCTTTCCTCAAATAGCGTTTGTTTACTTTACAACTGCAGTTCTGTACATTTTACAGCGAATAAAAAAACTATATAAGTACGGAAAAGCAAACTAATACCTCTTTGTTTTTTTGCCACTGTACAGTTGAATACTTATTACTATATTTTGAATTTAAGGGCGGTCCGTAAAAAACAAGCACACAGTCTGCATGCGGACCGCGGTCCGCCATTTGGTGACTCCTGCTCTAGGTTATATAATTTTTACTAATTACTATTTTTGTATGTTCCAGACTGAATTAACATGTCATAGGATACAAGAGTTCGAAACTCAAGCGTCCTCGGACTTAGAAATGGCTAATAATAAAATAGAAGAATTAAAACGGGATACCGAAGAACTGAGGCATCAAATTTCGACGCAGCAAAAATCGATAGACCAACATAAACAACAAGTGAATAAGTGTATAGAGGTTGTCAAAAAACTGCTCAAAGAAAAAAGTTCGATAGAGAAAAAGGAAGCTAGGCAGAAGTGTATGCAAAATAGGTTAAGGTTAGGACAGTTTGTGACGCAAAGGGTGGGGCAACGTTCCAGGAAAATTGGACGGACGGTCACGCATTCCAGGAACTAGCGAGGTGAGTTTTCATATGTACTAATTAATGTAAGAAATTTCGTTAGTATTGTATCAACTACAATTTATTACCAAAATTTCTGCTTAAAACATTTCGAATATGCTCGAAATCTTCATGATGATAAACCTTGATCCAGAAAGACTATGATGGTCAAATGTGTTTCAAGACGGGACTGAAATAATTCGAAACCCGTCACTCTACAGCATGGAGTTTTTCATACATCTTTCTCAATATGCTCTCTTTGTTTTCAGGCGGCAAGAAGAAATAACAGCAGAACGGGAGGAGATAGATAGGCAGAAAAAATTGTTGTTAAAGAAGAGGCCTTCGAATAACGAAAGTGGCCGAAAGAGAAACAATTCTAGTGCGTTGTTAAACGGAACAGATTCCGGGTTCTTAAAACCGGACGCGGTACCGGGTTCGCTAACGTTACAGGAGTATTACGAGGCGGACGAGATCCTGAAGTTAAGGCAAAACGCGTTGAAGAAGGAGGACGCTGATCTCCAGCTCGAAATGGAGAAATTGGAGAGGGAACGAAACCTCCATATTAGGGAGTTAAAACGTATCCACAACGAGGACCAGAGTAGGTTTAATAATCATCCGGTGCTCAATGATAGGTAAGTTTTAATTTAGTTTTGCGTAATAGTTTTTCTGTAGTAATATTTGCTAATAATTTTTGGTTTCTTTAAACAAAGCCTAAAACTGTCAATAATTTCGCCCTCTTTACGGTCTTTCCTTTAATAGAGCTCGCAACAGGTACAATACATATAATACAAAAAGAAATTTTCAGTTTTCCTTCCTGTACAATATACTTTCCAACCTAACAAATTTGACTCTACTGTCTTCAACACTTCATTTACTCTTAAATATTCTTCCAACTTGCCAGAACTCAGCTGCAGGTCTCGATAACATCCACTTCATATTCATCAAAAATCTTCCCATATCTGCCGTAAAAAAATTGCTTATACTGTACAACATAATATAAACCATCTAGAATTTCCAATAATATGGAGTGAATCTGTCGTCAAACCAATCAAGAAACACGACAAAACCACGAATAATCCAAATTACTACCGTCTTTCACCGACATGCACCTTGTGTAAGCTGCTAGAAAAACTAATAAACAAAAGACTTATTTAGTATCTAGAAAAAAACAAAATTTTAGAGTCAGCTCAATCCGATTCCGTCCATTACGAAGCACAGCTAAAAACTTGGTAATGTTACAAATAGAGATCACAACCGCCTTTCAAAATAAGCAAGATTTAATAGCAACACCGTTTGACATCGAGAGCGCCTTGGACACATTATTACGTTCTACTGTATTATCTTTTATTGAACAGATTCTTTCTAATCACTGCTTCAAAGTATTAGTTAACGGAAAATTTCCTCAATCTACGTTTAGGAAATTGGGGTACCCCAAGGATCAGTTCTAAGTTCCACTTTATTTATAATAACTATTAATGATATTTGCAAAAATATTCAGAACCCAGTGAAGTACAACTTATATGCTAACGACCTGATTGCCGCGGTAATGATACGTCCACAACTACAAACTCCAAAAAGCAGTAAATGAACTAACTTCTTGGTCTATAAGCTTTGGTATTAATTTCTCTGCTGAAAAATCAAAAATACTCAAATTCAGTGGAAGAACACGTGATATTAGGTTTAATTTTTGATAGTCGACTAACATGGATACCACAGATTACAAATGTCAAAGGTAATTGCTTAGCTAGATTAATTCTATTGAAATATCTAGCAAACCATCAATGGGAAGCTGATGAAGATATCCTCATTAAGCTACAGATCTCTCATTCGCTCTCGACTGGATTATGAATGCTTTGTATACATGTCATCATCAAAGACTTATTTAACGACTCTTGACATTATTCAAAATACCGCAATGTCTCGGAGCTTTCAGGTCCAGTCCCGCCGAAAGTCTTCGCTGTGAAATAGGTTAACTTCCCCTTTCGCTTCGCAGGCAACAGCTTCTTCTATAATAACATACTTTGCTAGAGTGTCTTCGAATCAAAACAACCATATAACAAACCCTATAATTGTGAGCTTAACAATAAATGCCAGACATTACTTCAAATTTTACTTTTCCTTTCACGATCTGTTGATTTTTCAATAACAGATACTCCTATACTGTCATCAACTCCTCCATGGATTAATAACATAACAAAAATTAAATTTTAACTTAATAATTATCACAAAAATGAAACCAACAGCCAAATTCTGAGGCAATCTTCGTTAGAGCTAGTCAACAAAAAATCATATGACGAGATTATCTAAATGCATCTAAAACTGAGACAGGTGTTGGATATTCTGTAACAACTTCAAATAGTATAATTTAGAAGTACTGCCTTCTACAATATTAATTTGTTTAATTTGTTGAATTGAATTGTTGAGTGCTGAGATAAAAAATCTTCTAAGGCATTTATGTTTCAAAAGAAAAAGAGATCCTGTAGAAAGGGTAGAAGAAATAACAAGCAAAACTCAAGTCAGTTGGGAAAGAAGACAACTTATAAGCACGCAAAAACTGAAGAAGCAGTTCACCACATTTCTAATGGAAGGACAAGCAAAAATGAAAGATAAGCTGTCAATATATGTTCCAAGAAATGTTACATTACATTGTGTTGGAGGTATTCCAACAGAATATATTATTTTAAGGTAGTCCGAGCGGTGAGTAGGCTTTTCTGCGCCAACTAGAGCGTTGACTGATCAGTGTAGCGTGGAACTTAGAAGAGAAGTCTGCAGCTCTTTTGCTGCTCAGTGACAATGTTATAATAAAGTTAAGACCAATCACAAGCGAAACAATCCAATTAATCTCGATATTCATCATAAATCACACTTTAAACAAATACAAATCAACACTCATCTGCGGCATGTATCTGTAACCAAAATGGAAGGTTCATTCCGGTAAACATCTGAGTCAGACTACCAGCACACAGATGTATTTTGGATAGGACCAGCTAAATACAAAGAGCTATTCGCACACCAACTCGGCGACGATTGGCACCGGCTGTCTGATTCAGAAAACCAGTGTTCATCATGGACATAACCCCACTTAATGAAAATATGCATTTAAATTGATTTTTATTGTAGAAATAGGTCCAATAGCATAAAGTATAAATGTGCAACTAGCTAATTGAACGTTTTACATTTTCTTTTTCTTTTTTTATATTCTTACTTTTTCCATTTTTTATGTTTTCAGGTATAGAAAAAATATATTTTCATTACATTTCTAGTTCCCTTATTTTCAATATGTAGTTTATAAGTTACAAAATAAGTATATTATTAATGGATTATTTCTTTATCATTTAGAACAACATATTACAACCATATCGTAGTCGAGGACGTCCTCCAACAAGGTGGTCGGACGATTTAAAAGCGCATCCAGTCTAACTGGATTCAAGTTGCTCAAGATCGGATGCAATGGAATTATTTACGGGAGGCCTATGTTCAGCAGTGGACGCAAAATGGCTAATGATGATGATTACAACCATCTTGTCTTGCTTACAGTTATTATAGTCGTTAAATTTGACCTGTCATAAGTACACTATAGCCAACGTACATTATTTTACCCACGTGTTATTGTTGTGTATTGATGTTTTTTTTTTTGTTGTTTTTAGGTATCTACTGCTGATGCTGTTGGGAAAAGGGGGGTTCAGTGAAGTACATAAGGCGTTTGATCTCAAAGAACAGAGGTATGTCGCCTGCAAGGTTCACCAACTCAATAAGGACTGGAAAGAAGATAAAAAAAGCCAACTATATAAAGTGAGTGGTAACGTTTGCTCCTTTTTTTAATAATATTTCAAACGATTATTCCAGTAAATCCAATAATGTTAAAAACCCAATAAAATCAGTGTATTTTTTAAATAAATAATTGTTTTTCAGGCATGCGTTGAGGGAGTACAACATTCATAAAGCTTTAGATCACCCACGGGTAGTTAAATTATATGATGTATTTGAAATAGATGCAAATTCTTTCTGTACTGTACTAGAATACTGTGATGGACATGATCTTGACTTTTACCTAAAGCAGGTAAGTGTAGATATTAAGTTACTGTTGATATTCTATTCAAATTATTACTGTTTAATTATTAGATACTCATTCTGGCAAATACTCGTTAAAGTATATGATGCCCTATCTGGTTGTCTTTTAGGCATAGCGCCCAAAGCGCAACTGATTTAAAACAACGGTTGAAAACTAGTCTCATTTGCAATCGGTTTACAACCAGTTTGCAACCTAAATGAAACATGTCTTCGCCCTCGAGCGAATGGTTCTACATCAGGTGTGTTTGTTTTAGTATTGCAGTGGTTTTACTGGTGTTGAGGTCCGGCAAGGAGGATATGATTGATTACTATGAGTACCTCAGGGTTCTTACGAGTTCAGAGGAAGTATTGGGTTCATACCTACTTTGAGAAGAATGCAAAATTGTTTAATTCTTGGTCCCTCATTTTAATATATATAAAATTAACAAAAAAAGTAATTAAATACCATAAAAAAAATTTTAACATACATTCCATTTAGATTATTTCGTCCACCATTTTCTTTTAGTTATTTCTGTTGTATTATCTTCATTATATTGAAGTTTTCACTCTGTTTTGAATAATTTGACTTGTTTTCTTCTTGATTCAGACGAGGCGCTATCTGTCTATGGCACTTGGTTATAATACCTCTCGACAAAAATGTAACTGCTTTTTAGTGTTAAATCTTGTACCATGTTAAGAAGCCAAGTTTTAAGTAGATTACATCGAGGTTTGTGATTATTTAGCATCCAAGGATCATGGTATTTCTGAAAATTTGCAGTTTAATTACATATATAGTTCTGACTTCTTGCCTATGACGAGGAAGTACTTCTCTATGATTTGGTTGTCAGTACTTCCTTCATCGTTTACGGGCTCTACTATTTCATTCTCGGACATAATTTTGTGCGGATTATTCTTGGTGATCGCTGCTATATTGATCCTGTTTGTAGATACTACCACCACAATCTTTTGGGGAAGAAGTTGCAGGTTCACTGTTCTTTGTAATTTTTTCGTGAAGCTGTTTGTATTATATCAGTTCTCCATCGAGAAGTAGTTCGAGGTTTACTTAGTATGGAGACCTTACTAGTATCAACGCCCTGTTCCCTCATGTTCCTGCGTTTTGTTCTTTGAGCTCTGAATCAACATTGCAGGAATGTCGCAGGTATTGTCTCTAAGAGTACTCGAATCATGATTTATTGTTGGTTTCTGTCTTTACTTTGTGTTGATTGGTAGACTTTTTCTTAATCTAATAGGCATCATTGTTGGCTACAGAGTGGCTAGTGTAGGTAAAAGCACTAATCTGATAATAGGTTCCTAATGTGATGTGTGTAACAAAAACCTACAATAATTTAAACATCTTAAACTTTATCTGGCCAAAAACTTAGCGACTTTAATGGCATGTTCGTTTGCCATAAGCAGGTCTTCCAATGAACAAGTCACCGGCCATTGTGAGCAGTTGTATATATGCATGTTAAAGAATTTCTGGTTCTCCGGATTCGCATACGGTAGGCAGGTCACCGCGTTAGTTTCATCGAGCCAGATTATCTTTGGTATTGCCCACTCCAGTTTTGAGTCTATTTAAACTCTTCCAGTTCAAGTCTCTACCAGGTAGTAAAACCTCTGTGGGATAACTCAATTTTGGTAGATGGCTCAGCTTATCCTTCCACATATCTATCTGCTCTACTTGGCGGAGTGTCTAATGGAATCCAGCTCTGTAGGAAACTCTTTCTCGATTTTAATAGTCGTCCTGGCGGCTGTAGCGTCTATAGTGGATACGCCCCATTAATGATTGGAGAGGCTATACCAGCCAAATATTGAAGCTTATCTATCGAGAAAGCATATTCTGCTGCAGAGTAACATAAGGGCAGCTACTTTATACTTTATTTTTATGCAGTGCGCTTTTTATGTGAGAATGTGGTCCAGAATAACTTCCAGGTATTTGGGGTAGAAAGTGTGTTCTAGTTCTACTTCCTCCCACGTTTTCTTTGGTCCTCTTTACTTCTTAGATGAAAAGTTGATACCTGATTTTTAGTTGGGTCAGTTTTCTTCTACCCGGTAATCCTCTTGTATTGTCTAATGTAGTCGTAAGTAACGTATGTGGCTCTAGAAGATCTTGACATACTTAAATGTCTGGATTCACTTATTCACATAAATTTCCATAGGATAGACGTTTCTATTAAATTTAGGTTTTGGAATAATATTAAACTGCTCTTTGTTTGTTTTAGCATAAAACGATACCTGAAAGGGAGGCGAGATCGATCATAATGCAGGTCGTGTCGGCCCTGAAGTACCTGAACGAGATCAAACCTCCTGTGATTCACTATGATCTGAAACCGGGTAATATTTTGCTGACTGAGGGTAACGTCTGTGGTGAGATCAAGATCACCGATTTCGGCCTCAGTAAAGTGATGGACGAAGAAAATTACAACCCCGATCACGGTATGGATCTGACGTCACAAGGCGCCGGAACGTACTGGTAAGTTATTTCTATTAACCAAAAAAAAACTGTCGAGTTTTCCAGTGTCTTTTTGCAGTGCTCCATTTATTTCTAATACATGTACTAGATAGCGACAAAATACGTGATTATTTGTGATTATACACAATAAACGTGATCGTGATTATTTCTCCAAGAAATCGCATATTGCATCATCCAAATTATATTAATAAATTCAGAAAGCACATTGATTTACAGATATTTTATTGGTTGCATTTAACCACAGCTACTTCCTAACCAATCGAAACATCCGAATAAGAAACTTGTTCCGTGAATGAACGATACTGGTAACCATAAGTATGCATCAGAAGACCATAGCAGAAAAATCTAATTTGAATGTTACATTAATATTACATGGTGTCTATCCATCTTTCTTTACTTTCTTTCCTTTAGCGTCTGCAACATGTGCAGTAACCCATTTTGTAAATTAGCCAACCTTTTAAAAGTTATACTTTTCTCTAACATTATTTCTTCTTTTAATATATCTGCCGACAATTTGCTTTTCCCGTGCAGCTATTATTTTTTAGTTCCAGTTTTACTTTTTTATCTCTTCTATATTCTTTGTATTTCTACTATTGTTATTTTTTCCATGCCGTTTTATAAGTTTTTGAAATATTTTGCCCCACTTTTTAGATCATCTGGTTTATTCTATTTTTTATTTCTACCAAAATTTTTATAACTCTTCGATGTTCCTTATGTTTTTTATATCATAAAGTTTTCTTGTATTATTTTTAGCCATTTTCAGTTCTTTTCTCTATTTTGTCTACATATTTGTTCCTCAGGTCGCATTCATTTTGATCAGTAATCGGACATGACAACAGTGATCTTTATCATACCGCAGTTTTATCAAGATGAAGCACATATTTACTAAAAGAGACTTACTGGTACAAAATATCAGATTGTTAAAATGTTAAATATTCGCGACTTTACTGTACGTGTGTCATCCATGCTTTATGATACAACACTACTACTTAAAAAAGCTATTTACACTTAAAATGTGTTTATCTAGACGAATTAACTGTTTCTCAGTTAATTCAACAAAAAATCCGTAAACTTTTTCATTAAAAAGGACAAAACAAAATTTTGTCTTTCTGTTTTTTATACGCACTCCCGAAAAAACAGCCAGTACCAGCAGTTTGGTGGCCAAACCCCAGACCTGGCCTTGCCAAAGCGCTATTAAGGCGTCTAGTGCCACAAGGTGCTATTTACTTCTGATTCTCACGCTGGTCTTAATTTATTAAAAACCTCTTAAAGGTAATTTGGGCTGAGTAAACTAAACATTGAATGTATATTCTATTCCAAGGGATACTCAAAGTACGTTTTCTCGTTGGAAATTTTAAAATGCAATACGTTAAGAGCTTATAGGAACTATATAGATTTTTATAGTACACAGGGTGAAACGAAAATGCTGCAATATGATAGAAAACTTTGTATAACCTTAAATGATTCTGTATATACATGAATTTTTTATCCATTTTGTGTAACTGACTCTTTGTATTTATTGTGTATTATATTTGTAGGTATCTCCCACCAGAGTGTTTCGTAGTAGGTAAGAATCCCCCGAAGATTTCATCGAAAGTTGACGTGTGGAGCGTTGGTGTGATATTTTATCAGTGTCTATATGGCAAGAAGCCTTTTGGACACAATCAGTCGCAAGCGACCATTTTAGAAGAAAATACTATATTAAAAGCGACTGATGTCCAGTTTGCAAACAAACCGGCTGTTACTAATGAAGCTAAGGTATGTAAACATTTTATTTTAGTTTAAATGTAATGCAATGGAATTTTATAATAATAAGTAAATTCTGCACAAGCAAATTACTATAAATTTGTACATGATAATAAACACATTTGCTCCGTGCTGACTGTGGCGATATCTACCCCCTCATATTCGGTCACATTACTTTGCTACATTGCTTTACAACTTTATTAGATCAAATTCTACACAAGTGTAGAATGCATAAGTATTCTTACAAAGGTAAAAAACCTATTATTTGTCACATTAGCAGTGAGAATGGGTTTGTTCCAAATGCCATCTGGGCATTTGAGTCGAATAAGTCTGGTGATTACCCTGAAGAGGTGGTCAGATCCAGAGACAGGTCAATCTTTTAAAAATTGGTGAAAATTTCCAATGTCTTACTAATACTAGAAGGCGAATATATCATTGTTTTTGACAATGCACCGTATCCTTCGCGTAAAATAGAGAAAATACCAACAAGTGCATCTAAAATAAGCAATATCTATAATGGGCTTCATTCTAAAAGTATAAAATTTGATGAACATGCTTAAAGTACAGCTTTTTCAATCTTAAAAAAGCATAAAAATGTTTATGATAAATAAGTAATTGATAAAATATCAAAAACCCAGAATAAACTGATATTGAGACTTAGTCCGTATCACTGTGAGTTAAAACCCATAGAACTCATTTGGACAAATATAAAAAATAATATTGCAGGAAAAAACACCACCTTCAAATTTTCAGATGCTATAAATCCATTTTATAATTCAATTTCATCAATTACACAGGATATATGAAAGAACTGCATTTAACATGTTCAAGAAAAAAGTAGAAAAGGAAATGTGGCGGCTGAACAATATAATTGAAACACATGTTGAACCACTTGTTATAAACGTTGATGATAGTGAAATATTATTCAGTTCATTAGAATAATGATTAAAAGTAGCCAAGATCTCGATCTCTACCATGTATTTACACCGAACTCAAACGAATTATCACTTACTTTGTATTTTTTTCCAAAAAACATAATTTTTGATTCACAAACATAATTTTGAGGTAAAACAAAATAATTTCTTGATTTTTTCGCCCTGTATAAATTGGTTCCTATTGTTGGATATCAACTAAAAACAGACAGGTTCTTTGTCTCGCATTTTTTCAAAATTAAAATATAAATTTCGTAATATACAAGATAATACTTCTGGCAAAACGAAAAGATAATCCTAAATGCGACCCTATTAGAGGCCTATGTATTTATCTATTTAATTAGCCTTCTTCGGTCCACCTTTGGAGATAGACCTCCTCAATCCTTTTCCATTCTTCTCTGTCTGTCGCTACAGTCATCCACCTAGAGCCCACATGCTTCTTGATATCATCTGCCCATCTCATTTGGGGTCTTTTTCTGCTTCGTTTATATTCCCACGGTTTCCAACTTATAAGAATTTTGTCTTCTTTTTGTCTTATATTGTGCCCGGCAAATCTCCATTTCAATTTTGCAACTTCTTGTCTAACATCCCTCACTTTTGTTTTCTCTCTTATCAAACTAGTTTCTCTTTTTATCCGTTAGTCGTATGTGCAGCATTTGTCTTTCCATTGCTCTTTGGGTTTTTATGATTTTGTCTATGTTTGCTTTTGTAAATGTCCACGTTTGGGAACCATAAGTGAGAACAGGGAGTACGCATTGATTGTATACTTTGGTATTAAGATGCTGCGGATATCTTTTGTTTCTAAGAATGTAGTTTAGTTTGCCAAATGCCGCCCATGCCAGTCTAACTCGTCCTTTTATCTCTGCTGTTTGGTTTTCTTTGTTAAGTTTTATAGTTTGACCCACATATATTTAATGTTTAACTTGTTCTATTTCATCTTGTCCGATCCTCATTGTGATGTCTTCATCTGTATTTGTTATGATTTTGGTCTTGCTGTAATTCATGTTAAGGCCTATCTTTCCAGCTTCTACGACCAGTTCTTTTATCATTTCAAAAAATATCGGTTGCCAATACGATCTCATCAGCGTACCTTAGATGGTTCAAGCGTTGTCCACAAATTTTTATACATTTTTCTTCCCATTCTAATCTTTTAAAAATATCTTCCAGCTGATTGAAAAGTTTGGGTGCTATTGTGTCACCCTGTCTGACGCCTCTATTTATTTGTATTGATTTTGTTCCTTCATATACTTTAATTGTTGTTTTAGCTTCCTTATATATATATTGGCTATTAGTTCCGTGTAGCTGTGGTCAATTCTGCTGTTAATCAAACAACTTTTCACTACCCAATGTTTGATACTATCGAAAGCCTTTTCGAAATCTATGAACGCTATATATAGAGGAATGTGGTATTCATTTGCTCGTTCTATAAGTATTTTCATACTTAGTAAATGGTCACTTGTGCTGAACCTCTTTCTAAAACCTGCTTTGTTCTTTCGACTGGTATCCGTTGAATTTTGTCGTCAATCTATTGGTTAAAATTTTTGTTATACATTATAACCCAACAAGTGAGTGCTGGCGGTGGCGCGTAGAACAAATTGAAAAATGGAAGGGATATCCTCATTTCAATTGCAATCGGCTAGAAGCTCACATCGTGTAATTAGAACGATTACACGATGTGAGCTTCTAGCCGATTGCAATAGAAATGAGAAATCCCTTCCATTTTTCAATTTGTTCTACGCGTCACCCGCCAGCACTCACTTGTTGGGTTATACTATTGTTCTGAAGCTATTTTCTTGTGGCATTTTAAATTAATTATTATTTAAGGGAAATAAGCCACAATTAAAGGTTAAAGTATGTTTTGTATTGACGTTTTAATTTCCACTTCGGAAATCGTTCTCAAAATACAAACATTAGTAAATTAAAAAAATAAATTAGTAATTGTTTGTATTTTGAGAACGATTTCCGAAGAGGAAATTAAAACGTCAATACAAAACATACTTTAACCTTTAATTGTGACTTATTCTCATTTAAATAGTAATTAATTTACATTACATTGAGGAGTGTTATAGGACGGTAGTTTTTTATATCTGCTTTATCCTCTTTCTTGTGTAAGATAATGGTTACGGATTCCTTACAGTTGTTTGGGATTCTTTTTTCTTTTAATATCTTATTAAAAAGGGAATGTTTGTATGTTAACTATCATTTTTCCACCATATTTCAGCATCTCTGCAGTTATTTCATCTTTTCCAGGCGATTTGTTGTTTTTCATTTCTTTCAATGCCGTCTTTATTTCTGATTTACTTATTTCTGGCTATAGCTCTGAGTTGATATTTATTATTTTAGCCTTAAGTTGGTTTTTAATTTTTTCTGGTGGTTCCTTTTTTGTTTTATAAAATTCTGAGTAGAAATGGTGGATTATATTTATGATGTCATCTTTAATGTTTGTTACTACTCCGTTTACATCTTTTATTTTGTTTAATTCAAACTTACCTAATTTCGGTCTTAAGCATTTCAAATTTTGTTGATCTGTATTACTTCTTCTATTTTTATTTCTTGTTCTTTTCTCATATTTTTCTTTTTCATCTATTGTTTACGATTCTACATATTTTATAGATTTCCTTTTGCCTCCTTCGTTCAGCTTCCTTCTTTTATCCATAAGCTTCTTTGTTTCTGTTGATATATAGTTGTTCTTTTTTAGATCCTTTTTTGCTATTTCTTTTCCTGATGTAATCATCGTTGCTGATAAGTATGTTGTCTATTTCGTCTATATCTTTATCATCACTGTCTAATTTTTGGGTAAGTTTCTTTTCATAGGTCTTTGTATATCTCTTTATATTGCCCTAGTTTGTTTCTATCTACTAGATCCAGTTTCTAATTATTTTTCTTTTCATTTCATAGTTACCGTCAATACTAATTTTTGCTCTGACCATCCTGTGATCGCTAGTTGTCGTGAATCTGTTACGAACTGTTACATCTTTAATGATATATCGTTCCGTGGACAGTATGTAGTCGATCTCATTTTTTGTGAATCCATTAAGGCTGATCCATGTCCATTTTCGTTGGGGCTTCTTTTTGTAAAAGGAGTTCATTGCGTATAGATGCTTTTTCTTCAGGTAGTCCATCAAAGTAGCACCTCTATCATTTCTCTGACCATATCCGAAATCTCCTATTTTATTAGATGCCTACACCTGCTAATATTCACTCCTGTGTAGCTTATTGAATTTTAGTATAGCTTCTTTTTCTCATTTGATTTAAATTAATTTGTTCAGTAGGTGATTTCTACATAGTAATATTTATTTACGTTTTTTTTTTGCAGAGCTTCATCCGTAGTTGTCTGGCGTATAGAAAGGAGGATCGGATCGATGTCCTTTCGCTGGCGAGACACGAATACCTCCAACCGCCGATGCCTAAACATTCGAGATTAACATCGAATCAGCAGCAGCAGCAACAACAGCAGCAACAGCAACAAACGGCATCGTTTTCAGCGGGTATATTCGGAGCAATGAATGCCTCGTCATCCTCTTAGTAGGCCAGACCCCGGGGACGTATGAACCAAACTTCTACGAACAGGAGGAAAAAATTGCAGATCGAAGTTTTATGATTATTGGATAATATCTCTAAATGGGAATCGAAATTCGGCACGGGAAATGCCAAGGCGAATCAGTGTTATCGTTATGCGATCAGGAACGTTTTGCTTCCTTTATTTAAAGCTAAAAATTTACAAGAACTGCCCTTGAAAGTTAAAGATTTCCTACAGAATCACATAACCTAATGTCTACTATAGGTTGTTAATTTGTTATATAAGTTTACAAACACGGTTTTAAGTGTTTATGGCACAAACGCAAGGTTCCACCAGTGACGAATTTTACTATTTAGATTCATAGTAGCCAAGAACTTCACCTTTGATTTTTAAATTGGTTCAAAAGTCCCTCGGATCTGGCCTATAGTGCAGTGCTGTGTTTAATATAAGTTAAAACAAGAGACTTCTACTCAAAAAAAGCTAGTGTTTAATATGAATTCTTCTTTATTTGAAGAAAACAGACTACGTGACCTATCTTTTTTTCAAATTAGACTGATTATTTTTTGTTTTGTTGAGTGAGGACGTTGTGAAGATAGTATTTAAAATGACACGTTACAGTGCGGATTCAAGTTTTTAAATCTCTTCTCTCGATGCTTGTATGGCTTCCCCTTTTGTCAAATAGTTGACACAAAAATTGGGCGCAACTTAGAATATTTTACTTTTTTTTTCATTATTTTTTTTTGGACTGATATTTTTCACAATAGACGACTCATTGTTATTTGTATAATACTGTGGAACTAGTGTGTTGATATACTTTTATAATTGTTAATGTATCATCATACTAAACAGAATAATGTATAAGTATATAGTTGAATAGTGATTGTGATATTGCATTCAAATAAAAATATAATTCCTTTTCTTAAGAGTAAATTTTTTTGAAAATAACTAACAAAAGTATTAAAATGGCCGTTTTATTAAGAACAATTAAACATTTGTTACTGTTTTAGTTGTATTTAACCGACAATACAGTCATTTTGTATTACATATACAGTCCTTGCTCATGTTGTTTGACTCACCTCTTGAAATTTCTGGATTTCTTTGTTTCATAATCAATTATAATTATTACTGTTAGCTATACATGTATTATAAGAGGATTACATAAATGATAGTCTTGTAACCTTTTTGTTAAACCACCCTTGGCTTTAGGAAGTACAGCCAGTGTCCTAAGCATGCTATTTATGCATCTTGTTGCTATTTCTTTTAAATACTCATTATAGCTCCAATAAAAAATGATTCTCTTTATCACCTGAAATTTATTTGTTATTACTTCTTCGGCCAATTTCGTTTTTAGGTATTCCCCCAGCTATTTTCGATGGGGTTCATGCTGGTGAGTTGCCGGGCCGTGGTAATAGAGGTATTTCTTGCAACATAATTTTTTTTGTTGCTTGTAGCTGTATGGGAAGGTACTCCATGATGCATTACCCTTGTGACCATTACCAAACCGTTCATTTATGGAACCAATCTTGTCTGCAAGTCTCAGTTATACTGTTCCTGTCGCATAGTTCCATTTACAACATATAAACACATACCTGATCATTACTAAGGTGAAATTTTTAATTGATTTCACATCCCTTCTCATATTTTTCCCTTGGAAATCTTCGGACAAATTGGGCCTTATTCCTGGGAAAAAACCGTTCATTTGTGGAACCAATCTTGTCTGCAATTTTCTTTTATACTGGTCCTGTCGCATGGTTCCATTTACAACATATAAACACACACCAGATCATTACTGAGCTGGAATGTTTAATTGGTTTTTGTACACATCCTTTCTCATATTTTTCTTCTGGACATCTTCGGAAAAATTGGGCCTTGTCATCCATACTTTGTAATGTTGCTTGATTACTAAAACAAATCTACAAATCGGAATAAAAATTATAAGGTTTGAAAACATAATGATTTGTATTAACCTACTCCAATATCCAATGAAAAATTATTCTCTCTACCCACTGAACTTTATTTGTTATAACTTCTTTGGCCAATTTCCGCTTTAGGTACTCTCAGACATTTTCGATGGGGTTCATCTCTGGTGAGTTTCCGGGCCGTAGTAATAGAGGTATTTCTTGCACCATAATTTGTGTGTTTCTTTTAGCCATATGGGAAGGTGCTCCATCATGCGTAAAGACCTTGCGATCATTATCTAACCGTTTATTTGTGGAACCAATCTTGTCTACAAGACTCTTTTTTACTGGTTTTGTCGCAGGGTTCAATTTATAACATATTAACACAGACCAGATCATTACTGAGGTGGAATGTTTAGTTGTTTTTATTGCACATCCCTTCTCATATTTTCTCCTGGGTGTCTTCGGACAAATTGGGCATTACCATCCATAATTTGAAATTTTGCTTGATCACTAAAGTAAATCTGCAAATAGGTAGCACAAATGTATGTATAAGGTATGAAAACAAAATGATTTGTAAAAACTTACTTTTTGCCAATCATCAATAGTTCAATCTTCATGCAAATTGATTTAAGTTAAGCGTTTCTTCAGTATTTGTGGTGTTAGTTTTGGCTTCTTAACAGCCCTGCGACATTTGAACCCCATGCTGTATAGTGGCCACCGATATCGAACACCCCTCTTCCAATTTATTCCTTATATCTCTATGGATGGCTCAACTATGTTTTACAGCCAAATTCTTTAAAAAATTTTGCCCTCTGAGGGTGACTCGAAGCTTTTAACCACACTGGACGTTTCTATTAATTTTTTGACTCAACCTTTAAATAGATGATTGAGATGCACCATATTTTCTTACTACTTCTCTTTGACTATATGTGGAATTTTCTATTAGAGCAGTACACGAAGAGATTTGCTCAATTTACATTAACCCACCTCAAAAAATTTGAATTGGATATTAATCGTCTTATTTTATGATCCGAAGTAAACCAAATTCAAAACTAACATTACTATACAATAATATCAACACTCACCACTGCAAATTTTACAAAAGTTGAACAATCACTAATTTAAGTGAAAAACTTAAGTTGGAAAAAGTCCTGCTATTGCAGACTTTTAGTGGCATTCCATTGCCATCTGTCAAGTTTTGACAATTCAATCAAAAGGTTCCACCATTTTTAACTTACCTCTTTAGCATGATTATTCACTAATAGTTATGCAACCAGCAACTCTGTATTACTGTGAGGATACTTTTAAGGTGCTTTAAATTATAATAAACTGAAATTTCTAGGGCAAATTTAATAATTTGAGCAGGGAGTGTAATGTAATTAAAGCTAGTCAATAACGTCTTTTCATTATTTCCTTATAAAAGCATGTTTTTTTGTTAGTATTGACACAAAGACGTAAGATGTGTTGTTTTTATCCCAAACATTAATTCTGTATCGTTTTTTAAAGAGTGCTTCTAATACTTCATTATATAATTGCATTTTATAAATATTTAGTCATTAAAATGGACATGGTATCAAAAATTTTACAATAATCGGTGCCCTATGGTGTTTTATCCATCCAATGGCACTACAGCCAAAGTCGGACCTTGGCCTCCTTCATCAAGCTTCGTCTTTCTATCTCTTTTTAGGTCCTCCAACAGGTCTTTTCCTTGCATTCTTGCATTTAGTAATTTTCTGGGGATTCTAGATTTCTAGGATTAGTGTGTTGGTCAGATAAATTGTGGGTTTAAACTAAACTGTAAGTTGATGCTGAAATCGAAAGAGTCAATGAAAAAGAGCAAAAACAGGATTTGATAATTGTTGCAAAACTAAAAAATGTGGATATTTTGGAATATTCAGATAATTCGTACAATTTACCGTCAGGTGGATGACTTATGTTTCTTTATGACAACGTTTTCTGTCTAAATTAATGTCAATTCTTAGCAAATCTTGAAAATCTCTGCTTTTGCAATATTTAAGGATAAAACAACTAAGTCAGCTCGATAGCTCAACGAGTAGACTCAGATCGAAGTGAGTAAATAGTTTACTAGGTTACTAGCAATATAAAACCCAAAATGGATCTGCGACTGTCAATTCTAGTTGGAATTGACTTAGCTGTTGAATGAGTAGTATGTAGTTTCGCGACTCATTGAGCCATACATCCTATAGCTCTACAGCCGAATTAAACCCTGGCCTCCCTCATCAAACCTCTTCATCTGATACAGTCTGTAGACATTCTCCTCCATGAACGACTGCCATGGAGATTTCTGGTGTCCTAATCCTCATCATCCTCCCATCGTCTTCCAATAGGTCTTTTCCCCCTGATTCTTGCATTCAACAGTTTTTTTGGAAGCCTGTTTTTTCCTGCCTGGCATATATGGCCTGTCCATTGAAGACGCTGTAGGCGAACATAGTGACATAAATGTAGTTCTTTATATATATTGTATATTTTATAATTGTGTCTGATTCGCCACGTGTTGTTCTCATTTATAGGACCTATTATTCGTCTCAGTACCTTTCTTTCAAATATGTCTATATAGTTTGCAGATTTTTGAGTCAACAGCCAACTTTCACATCCGTAGCTCCCTAGTAGTCTGTATATCTTACAGGAAGAGGCCAAGACGCTAGAAAACTGAAATAAACATATAAAGCAATTGAATCAATTTATAATCAAATTTGAAGTCAATTTTCTCTGCATTTTTAAAACACAATTTTGATTGCTTCCAGTTTGTAATCTATAATTGTCTTTTTCTTTCGCTTGAAGTCTCTGAGTTTGATAATTTCGGCGTCCTAACAAAACAACACACTATTATGTCCCATTTGTATATAATTGTTTTCTTGTTTGGCTTATTATCGTCCTTAGATTGTTAACCTCGACAGTATGGTAGTCTTAGTACGAGTAAACATATTTAAACATTGTAAAATAATTGAAAAAGAAATGGCTAACTTTATGAAAAGGTCTAATAATTGTTTAAACTTAGTTTTTGAATATTTCATAAATGATGTACTTTTTACTAAAAATAAATAAGTTATTATAAACATTCCATACTTTGAATGCAGTGTTCAAATTCTTTATACAGAAATAAAAATATTAGTTTGTTTTCGGTTATCATTAAATTGTATTCCATTTTTTGTGTCAACAATTTAACTGCTGTCCAATTACATGAAAAATAAGTGCAAACTCATAGTCATATGTTTCCTTTTATATATATAAGAAAACTATATATATATAGAAAATTGTTTAAGTTATTTTATGAAAGTGACCTTGCTTTGTACCATAGTGTGTTTTGGTTCGCATTCCCCCATCCTCCTCGTGTCTCCTTCCTTCCTTTATTACCCCAATCTCTCATTATTCATAATAATAGTGTAATGTGTACAGAAAGAAAAAAACAACCTATGTTTGCCTGTTATTCAAATCTAAGATTTGTTTTATTCTGGAAGATTGCGGAGCCTTTTCAAAAGTTGCTACATTTTGTCTACCAAGGACTGTTTTAAGTCCAAGGAATTGTAATAAACCTTGTAAACCTTTATTATATTTGTTTAAAATATATGTTATATATCAAACACATTTTTATTTCTTTTTAAATTATAAAAATGAGTGTCTTATTGATCCACAAATACCACTGATCACTAAATCACATCTTGATGGCTCAATATATTCAGCCATTAAATTTATACTTGAAACTAACAGGAAATATATACATTTTTTTCAAATTAACCTCACCCAAGGTTATAGACTTTTGGGAATAGTTGTTGAACCGAAAAGCTGCAGAAACTTATAAAAGTTTTCAAACAATGTTTAATTTTTATATGTAGATAAAAGAGTGGATACCGACATTAACGTGTAGAACATTTGTAGCAGTGTACATAAAAATTTAATAAATTTCTGGTTCTTTTAATTTTTAATCAAAAATATGTCCACTGAAAAAGCTCCTTTATCTTGTATAATGAGACAGATCGTTTTCACTAGATATGGCTTGTTGGATATGAACTCATTTTTTGTTTGGGTTTTATATTCACAGAAATTTAGCAGCTTTGAGACGTTCGCAATTGATTTTGCATCAATTTGTTCGAGAATTTTCGTTGACTATAGGGTTTAATTTAGTCATTCTATGTTTTTTACGAAATTCTTTTGGGAGTTTATAAACTACAATATTAAATACTAATGAAATGTAACATTTTGCAACTTCTTCACAAGATTTTTTTAATTCTGTAGATGTTCCGGCAGTTGATCGTATCAGCCATTTGAATATCATATACAAATAAGTCTCTATTCAGTTAGATCGTTCTTTTAAATGGAATGTGCTAGTATTTGAAATCTTGGCATTTATATTTTCTTGTCCAAAGATTCTAGTTATTTGTGATTTTATTGTTCGAAGTTTTCTTCGTCTGACATTTTCTCGGTATTAGTGCTTTATGCATTTTATCACAATTTCTTTCTATTTGATGTTATTTTGGGCTATTTTTAACCCTCCACTAAAAATGTTTTAGTCAATTTACCAAATATTTAGATCCTAGTTCCATAACATACAGATTTGTGTTTAATTTTATATTAGATCTTTTCGTTATAAATAAATGGCAGATGCGAGACTTTTAGACACAACTGCAGAGTGGTCTTCCCTATTTTTTCAATTTCATTCTATGATTTTTCATTTTTGCATTCCGTTTTCTGCATCTACCCATTTTTTCTTGCTTGACATTATTTGTTTCGGTATTCTTGCGTTCCATTCCATTCTGTAACTGTCTTATGCTAGTATCTTTGGCTACTTGATACTAGTTGGCTAGTTAAATAAATAAAATCTTCTTATTATTTCTTATTTTCTAGAACTCTCCTTCCTTTTTTCCCCTTCATAAGTACCTCTCAAAACTTGTTTCCTTGTTTCTATCAGATTTCCAGTCTTTACTCCTTTGCATGTGCCACCACTCATGTTTCATTCAGAGCATACAGATGCACTTTCTCCTTCTGTTATAACTGTTCAGATCTCATTACATTTTTTAGCAGTCTTGCCTTTCTATTCGCTTTCAGTGTCCTTACATCTATATCTGTAAGTTTCGTCACAATTCTCCATTATAATCGCACTTAAATGTGACGTTATCTTCTTCTTATGGTGCCCTATTCAATTAGTGGATGTTGTCGACAATTCTGGCATGCTACTCCCGATCTTGTGTGGCTGTAAAGAGTGCATGGGCATCGAGGTTTGTCCAATCCCTTATGTTTTTAAGCCATGAGTATTTCTTTCTTCCGATGCTGTTTTCCTTCTATCTTCCCTTCCATAATAAGCGTTAAAAGATGGTACTTGGAATTTCGAAATATATGATCCAGATAAACAGTTTTTCTTCTTTTTATTATTGGTAGCAATTCTCGTTCTCTGCCCATTCGATTTAATACTTCGACATTTGTCGGTCCACCACATTAGTCCTTATGGTCCAGTTTTCTACACCATATAGCATTATGGAGTAAATGTAACATTGTACAAAGCGATATCGAAGCGTTAAATTAAGGCTGCTGTTGCTTAGCAAGGTTCTGATATTAGTAAATGCTGCTCAATCCTGCCACGAATCTCTATGTCTGGATCTAGATCTTCAGTTATCCAACTACCGATATATCTGAACTTGGGGACCTTTTGGATGTTCTTATTGTTAATTCTTATACTTAATTTCATATTTCGTGTTCTACTAACCACCATTACCTTCGTCTTGTCTATATTCATCTTCAAGCCCAGTCTTTCTTCTTCAGTGTTTATTATATCTATTAGTCATTGTAGCGCTTCTTTACTATTCAGCTATTATGACTGTATCATCAGCATAGCGAAGATTACTAATAGTCTGTCCGTTGATTTTGATTCCATCTTAAGTGTCACTTAAGGCTCTATCGAAAATCGTTTCAGAGTAAAGATTAAAAAGGAGGGGTGACAGAACACAACCCTGTCGTACACCTTTTTCGATTTAGAAATATAATGTTGATTCCTACTCTCACAGATTCCACGTGATTCATATAAAGGTTCTTTATGATTTTAAGGTCATTCTCATCTATCGAACGTTCCTGGAACAATCTTACGAATTTTGAATGATTAACACAATCGAACGCTTTCTGGTAATCTATAAAGCATAGGAAGTTAGTACACCTAGCTCTAGTTCGTTTTTTACACCTTTACTTAGCTTTTCCTAGTCTCTGAAGTTTCTCATTTATTGCACTTTCCACTGTAGTGAGCACTTTAATATCGTCTGTATATCCTAATTCTTGATGACTTATTTGTTAAAGTGTCTGTTCTGTTCATTCCGTTCTTCCTATTTATTCATTCCAAGAGCAAGTTAAACAGGACTGTCTAAGAGTGAGAGTGAACCACAAACTCTCATACTTTCTGCATGCTCTTTTAATATTTAATATATTTCGCTAGTTTTTTATTCTCGACCACAGTTAGAGTCTGTATCTGTAATTTTCTGTTATTTTTCCCGTTCCATTTTTTATTATCTCTTGTCTTGGAATACTTAGATCTCTGGTAGTATTTCATTCTAGTAATTTGCCTGCCACTTTCAAAGTTTTGGCACCTTGAGAAATACAATCCTCACTCCAGGCCAATCAACATTCCTAGTAGAGGAAAGTGTAAGCTAAGTTTGCTTTCAAACATATAAAAACTATCTTTATCCCAACTTGTCAATGTACGAGGTATTTCGCATTTTAATGGCATTCAAGAATTTCATTTGCGTCATTCATATCTCAGTAATTCCTTCGTTTTTTAAAAGCTCATATTTTTACCTCGTACTTAAGACTTTGTTATTCAACTGTATTAAAGGCATTTAAACCATTTAATATTGCCCATACCCATTTGATATTACCATTACCTTCGTTTTTTGATTTTACTTTTAGCACCATCTAAGACTTTTTCAACCAAAGCCACATCTTTTACTACTGTTGTGTCTATAGTGAACCTTAATAAAAATTCTTTTTAGAAGACTTTTGAAGTTACTTCTCCAGAAATTATTGTATTTGCAATTTTTTAAATATTTTTTTATATGCAGTTAGTTTTCTAAGTTTTCTAACGAAGATACTTTTTTTAGTAAATCTTTATTTTGCGTTTTCTAAGTAATTTGATCTCCTTTTAAAAGACTAGGAATCGGAACATCAATGATATTTATCTATTTTGGAAATAAATATTAATTTTTGAGCAATAATATTGTAAATATATTAATGTGGATATTGTAGAAACAAATATAAAAAAATATCAATAGTATCTATATAAATAATTTTTACATTTATAAAACTGGGCGTAGGACTAGAAAAACTTTCAAGAGTATAATAAACGAAAAAAAATTAAAATGTAGACTCTGAAATCCGTACTCTAAATAATACACACTTTGTAATATTTAGAGTGCATGTGTTTCATATATCTTTTGCTTAAATCATAATAGTCTTATATGATTGGTGATCCACCAATAATCGTAGTTTTGTAAGAAAACAAATTTTGTAAATTTGAAAAGAAAATAAAAACCAAAACCCATGCTTCCTAAAAGCTCATCTTGCATGTTCCTTCTTGGTTTGATGCTAAATCAATGATATCTCGATATTCAAAAATATTGAAAATACTTAGATTCTAAGTTATATAATAGTTATGTGTATATAAATGACGGCTTAAACATTTTGAATATCTTCGAGGTTATATCATGCGAAATGTCTTAAACCCATACAAGATCAAATTTTTACGAAGAATGGACGGAGTTTTAAAAATTTTGCTAGGTGAGACTTCTTGGTTGAATGTGGACGTTCCTAGATACCGGAACTCCGAATGTTGTTATACTGTAAGCGCTAGCTGGTTTTGTAAACTCCTCTGAAAGTAATAATGTAAATATCTTGTAATATTTGTGCTGCAATATTATAGTCTAGGTCCAAACGCAAGTGACCGTACAGCGAAAGTCCAGTAAGTTCGTTTTTATGTTGATCTGAACAGGAATATGAGGTAGTAATAATTTTTTAAAAATAAAATTGCAGTTAAATAATATTTAAGTAATCGTGTTTCTATGATATCAATTCACAATATCAGTTTATTTTGAATATATCGCCCTATAAGCTTTTGGCTACCGTATAACTAAGCTTTTTCTCGTTTGTACACTTATAAAGAATTGGTTACATTTTGGAGTCTTGCTAGTTCGTGTTTCTACCTTGTTTTTTGTTGTTGAATATCTGCTCATAATCATATCCTTTATCTATCATGACCCATACACTGAAACTCATTTACATCTAGAATTCTTATTTAATATATTACTTCTTATACAGGCTGATTGATTAGTGTGATAAAGATCAGTAGATCCGCTATAACAATATATAGCAATAAAAGTATTCACGTCACTATCACGTATATCCTAAATTTAGATATGTGGCAACCATGTGTCCAAGGGTACCAAGAGAACTATGCGAACTTCTGGTTTACACAAATAGGGCACTACTAAACTGATTGCTCTTATACCAAAGGACAAATCTTTGACAGATTCAGAGAGCACTGTATCAATTTATGTGGAGTAAACCCTGGACGGACTTTTGAGGGCTTCTGCCAACAGAGATGTTG